CCTGTTGATGACGTCAGCGACGCGGTTTAATTGGGCGCGGCTTAGTCGAGCGCGGTTTTGTGGTGGAACCCTGAGAACTGTATAAATGGCTTCCAATAGTCATCTGTGTTGTGAGACTGCAAAGTTATGACTTCTTATGTCTTCAAGGCATTTGTCAAGAATTCTTGATTCTTTGAACTTTCTCTTAAAACCAATATAGATGATCTTCATTTAACAATCACAATTGAGACCAGTAATTGGTCATTAAGCGAAGTGGTCACTAAGTGAAATTGCAGCTGTGCTTATTATCTTATTTCAGCTGTCCTTTGCAAAGGTCATACATGTAAATTACAAAAAGCTGTTGCAAACTAAAGACCTGCTGTAACTTATATTCTGTAACGTATATAAAGTAACTTTCTTGCTTGTATCCTTATGATTTATATTGATGTTGATTGTTTCCTGATTGCTTATCCCCATGACTATCATTAAGTGTTGTACCTTATGATTCTTCATGAATGTACACTTTTTATGTACACAGACAGCATATGCACCAAAGACAAATTCCTTGTGTGTCCATTTCACACTTGGCCAATAAAGAATTCTATTCTATTCTATTCTATTCTATTCTATTCTATTCTATATAACTTTGGCATTACCCATCCCATTTGGCAATCAAAGTGCCAATGTTTCTCAGATACAGTGGTGGGTTGATATCTAGGAATGCACCTTGGCAATGGACAGGTACGAAAACCGAGACTCAATATAGTCTATTGTCAGAATTGAATTTCCAATATAAGTGGCCAAATTAGAGCAAAAAAAGAAAATAAATTGGGTTATTTAATTTTGGAAAAAATATTCATAACATGGATTATATGACTATGTGAATAGTGGTGAATAGGTGGTAGACGTAATAGAAAAAGATGCAATTGTAGTTTTAAATAAGACATGAAATAGCAGGTTTCTCTGTATGAAAAGTAAACAGATTTATCAACTTTTTAAAGGATGAATGAATGAATGAAGAGGGACAACAGATAGGTTAAAAAAGTAAAGATGGGGGTCTGCAATTGCATAATTAAAGTCTGTCCTTGTTTTAACCTGCATAATAGCATATAAAAAAGAGGATTGTATGGTTGTCATATTTCTTTTTTTTTTTACCTCTCTGTCCCTCGACAAAATAATGTATTGATTATAAATTATTTCCCAGACGTATTTGGGAAGAATCAATAGAAAAAATTAAACTAATGGAAAAAACAGCCATAGCTAATGAAGGGACATAGATCTAAGTGTAAATCATTAATTTAAGTTCTATTACGAACACCTAAATATTGCAGGAAGAGATAATCTGTATCTCTTGAATCTCTATTTTGCCAGTTTAAAAGAAATAGTGAGGCACAGGCTTTGATCATAGTAGAAAGAAAGACCTGACAGTCATTTTGATGTTAAAACACAAGTGAAGGGGGAAAAAAAGTTCCATCTATTATAAAGGTAAGAAGAATAGATAATGCTCTTTCCATTTACGTAGGAGAGAAAAATTAGAGAACGTTTAGGTAGAAAAATGTGTCACCGGGTGTTTTAACTAGGCATTGTATTGAAATAATGACTAATTTACAGACAGTAGCAAACAAATGACTGAGCTGAATACTGAGGTCATGAAGAACGACATTTTTAAAAGAGAGATCAGGTGCAAGTAGTTCTCAGCTCTCTTGCTGAAACTGTCCCACTGGCAGGCTGGAGATGGATTTTATTTGTTTGTTTGTTCATTTATATCTCACATTTATTATTTTTACAAATAAGGCTAAAAACATATCCAACACACCTTCCTCCTATTTCCCCCCGCAGCAACCATGTGAAGTGGGTTGGGCTGAGAGAGTATGACTGGCTCAATGTCACCCAGTTGGCTTTCATGGCTAAGGTGTGACTTGAACTCACAGTCTGTTGCTTTCTAACCTTAGATTAGTTTAAAAAGAGGCAGCCTTATTGTGATAACCCATGGTGTACTTGTGAAAGTTTGTGCAGGTGGAAGTGTACTGGGCAGGAAATTTGTGGTCTCTGCTCTAAAAAATCATTGTTGTTCAACCTGGCAAGTTTAACATGTGTGTCTTCAAGCCCCAGAATTCCCTTCCATTAACTGGAGAATTCTGGGAGTTGAAACCCACACATCTTAAAGTTGCCAGGTTGAAAAATAGTGGCACAAAGGATCCCTTTCAGCTGTATGATTTTTGTGACACAAAAGAATGAAACATAACCCACTAATTTCTTGACCTAAATACGAAATCATTCAATCAGAGCTTGAAGACGCATTTTTGTTACATACTTTGCCATTTGTTTTTCCCTTTTACTGATGTGTTAAATTCCGTTCTGTAGCAGATACACAATAAGAATGGAAAGCTCATTAAGAAGAAAGGTGATTAGGATCAGCACATCTAAAAGAATGAGGGTTGATTAAGTAATTCAAGTGTGTACGTAGATGGTATTGATAACATGGTTAAAAGTACACGAAAAGAACAAAAAATCTGATCGAAAAAGAAGTGACCAAAGTAAAAGAATTCGCAAGAGAGGTAGAATAATTCACATAATAAGAAATATAAAGGAAACAATAATAATTTAGATTTTTACCATGACTGGATTCTAAAGAAGCTTAAAGGTAAAGGTAAAAGTTTCCCCTCTCCAGTTGTGTCCAAATCTAAGGTTGGTGCTCATGATGGAGACAGAGTTGTCCAAAGATGTTTCTGTGGCCATGGGGCTGCAGTGCAGAATATGTGGCAAACACGGAACGCTGTTACCTTCATGCTTTTGAACTGCTACATGGGCAGGACCTGGCACAGAAACGGAAGCTCGCCCTCTTGTGCAGTGCTCCTGTCTCAAACCTGGGCTGTCAGCCTTCTAGTTGACAAGATCAGCTTCTTAACTGCTGAGCCATTGCACCCCCTTTTAAAGTAGCTTAGAAGAAGTCAAATTCATTGCAACAATATGATCTAAGATGAGTGGCTGCAATGTAGAGACCAAAAGAAACATAGTTCATACTCCACTGTGCTTTCCTGAAGTTAAAGTTGACTTTCCAAAGAAACTTGGTGCCTAAAGGAATGTTGAAAAGTTAATTACGAACTTTTAAAAATGATCTTGGAATGGAAATCTGAGATGCTCACAGGCATTTTAGCTGCTAATGGTTGCTGATTCTTGGTTCTGAAGCAGAGATTCCATAGTCTTGTTCTAGCTGACGGTTGAAGCTACCCCACTTGTACAATGGAATTACCTAAGGATAACTGTTGCTTTCCAGAGTAGGCAATTATTTTGGTTTGTATACATAAGGGAAGAATTAGGTTTGTTATGCATTTGATTCTTAGACTGAAAACATGTGATACATAGGTTTGATTTCTTATAAATCATCTTTGTTTATTTTTTCCAGATTGCAGTAGTTATGGGCTCATGCACAGCTGGAGGGGCTTATGTCCCAGCAATGGCTGATGAAAGTATAATTGTTGGAAAGCAGGGAACAATATTTTTGGGTGGACCTCCATTGGTGAGTGAAGTATTTTCAAAGGATTAGTAAAGGCTTCCTTTTTAAAAACAGATAAATATTATATAACTGTATTGCAGGTTTCACTATAACAACTAGGTGTTGCAAAAATGAATATTTTGTTAAATACCAAAATATTTTATATATTGTGGTTGCTTAGCATCTGGTTGACTCAGTAAAACACACCAAGTAAAATTCACCAAGATCAAACTACTTAGACCAGTGTTTTTCAACCTTTTTTGTGCAAAGGCACACTTTTTTCATGAAAAAA